TTTTGCAAAATTCTATCATGCCATCTCCAGCATCATTTTTATCACCAAGGCCATATTTTCCAACTATTGGGTCTGTCTCTTTTTTCCAACTTTCGCATTCCAATCACCAGTCATAATTAACACATCTTGATTGCATAGTTGATCAGTTTCAGACTGAATAAGTTGATAGAATTCTTCAATTTCCTCATCACTGGCTTTCAGGTTGGTGTATATATTTGAATAATAGTGGTAATAATTGGTCTTCCTTGTAGGCGTATGGGTATTATCCTACCACAGACAGCACTGTACCTTCTAGATCTTGAAATGTTCTTTTTAACAACAAATGTGACACCATTCGGCATGGTGGTGATGGTGGGGATGTCCCTTAAAGTCAATTCCAACTCATAGTGACCCTGCATAGGGTTTCCAAGACTGTAAATCTTCATGTGAGCAGAAGTCTCATCTTTCTTCCATGGAACAGCTGGTAGATTTGGACTGCTGAGCTTGCAGTTAGCAGTTGAAACCCACTACACTACCAAAGCTCCTTCATTCCCAGGATAATAAAACATTTTGTCAGATTAAAAATGGTCAATACCAGTTCATTGCAGCTTGCTAATGCCTTGGATATTGATCTTTATGTATTCTATTTGATTTTTGACAATTTCCAATTTTCTTAGATTCATATTTTGTACATTCCAAGTTCCAATTATTAATGGATGCTTGCAGCTTTTTCTCCTCTTTTTGAGTGGATCAGCACATGAAGGCTTTACTCCTTTCATGTCATCATGGTCAACTCTACTTTGAGGAGACAGTTCTTTCCCAGTCGTGTTTCTGGCACTCTATCACACAATGTTCTATTGCTGTTCATAAGGTTTTTTGTGGCTAACCCTTCAGATGTAGTCTACCTCTTCTTCCTTGTCTGTCTTAATCAAGAAGCTTTGTTAAACCCTGTATATATTATATGACCCTGGTGATATTTAAAATACCAATAGCATAGCTCCCAGCATCACAGCAATACGCTAAGCCACTAAAGGATGACAAACTGACAGACAAGTGGTGGAATTAAGCTATGTTGTTGTTGTTAAGCGCTGTTAAGTTGGTTCCAATCCTTAACAACCCTGTATAGGGTTTCCGAGGAGCAGCTGATAAGCTTGAACTACCGACCCTGCAGTTCAAATCAACTTTGCAGTCTAGCACATTAACCCACAGTGCCAACTGGCAGACAAGTGATGAAATTAAGCTCTAGAATCAACTAAATAAGAAATTATTTGGTATTGTGTAATCAGCTTTTTAAATCAAACATTTTCCTATTAGCAATTTTCAGAGTTCTCACTTTGCATAGCATTTATATTTGGCATACATTTTAAAAATAAATGCATTGACTGATAATTTACTGACAAAAATTAGATCAGAGCACCATATTCTAATCCTTTCTCTGATATTACTAGCAGTATGAGCTCAGGTCTATCCTTCAGAAATCCGATTCTTTAACTTTGAAATGAAATGAGCGCACAGGCTTATCTCTAAGATCATTTTATACACTGTATCTTTAAACATTTGTTGTTGTTGTTGTTATGTGCCATGGAGTCGGTTCCGACTCATAGCGACCCTGCACAGGGTTTCCAAGGCTGTTAATCTTTACGGGAGCAGAACGCCTCATCTTTCTCCTGCGGAACCGCTGGTAGTTTCGAACTGCTGACCTTGAGGTTAGCAGCCCGATTCGTAACCACTAGAGATGCTTAAATGTATCAACTGAAATTTAAATAACTTCATTCAAATTCTCAAGAGTAGATAAAAATAAAAACAACAAATACATATACAGAACAGTTATGGATGTATGGCAAGAGTTGTTCTTTCATGAAGGTTTAAAGTATCAATGCAATTTCCTTACCTATTACAATAGAAATTTCAGCAACACACACCTGAGAACACTGTTCCAATTGCAGATATAGAGTTACATACTGCATTTCAAATAACCATCCTTAAAAGACAAAACTTGCTATTTGCTTTTGTCACTTCACAACATTTATTCAAGCTACTATAATGACCTTTTATTTCTATAAATGAACTTACATAAAAATCTGGCTAACATACTTAAGAATTAGGCTATCACAAACAGTTGAAGTAAAGCTTTGTTGTTGTTTTGCACCATTGAGTTAGTTCTGACTCAGCGACTCTGTATAAGGTGGCTGAGAGCAGCTGATGGGTTTGAACTTTCTATCTTGTGTTAGCAGAGTTAACAGTCCAGTGCTTATCTTACAGCACCAAGAAGACTTGTGGAGCAGTAGTTGAGTGTCTGGACTACCCAATAGGTCCACAGTTCAAACCCTTAAAGATCTATAGCCTTGGAAAACCCTATGGGGGTAGGTCACTATGAATCAGAATGGACTAGACAGCAATACTTTGGTTTTTGTTTTAGGAGATAACTGAATCATAGGAATAAATTAGATGTTTAAATAAGCATTAAAAGTTTCCTTTTTTTTTTTTTTTTTTTTTCTGTAAACATGCCAAGACTATCCCATAGCTATAAACTTTTAAATCAATACTGTCTCAGAATTGGTTTGCCAACTTATAATGGAAACACACAGATCACAAAAGAGAACTGTCATTATGAAAAATACACTGTACAAGCTAGGACTTGCTTAATGAAAACCACTGATACAATTCAATTACCAACTACATGCTTTTGTAACACAACTGCACATGTCATCTTTAGTTAACAGAAGTTGTAATAGGAAAATGACAACTCATCAGACACAAATAATGCTTTACACTTTCTGGTAATCTTTATGTTTTCTATATAGCTTTATGTAGTCTGACGCTGTGGGCTAAAATGCGTCAGACTACAAAATTGTTTGAACTGCAAGGTTGGTGGTTCAAGCTCACCAGATGCTCCTTGGAAACCCTATTCAGGGTTGCTATGGGTCAGAATCAACTCGACGGCTCTCAACAACAACTACATTTGTAAAGGAGCTCTGGTAGCAAAGCAGTTACGAATCAGGCACGACCTGTTCCGCGGGAGAAACATGAGGCTTTCTCCTTCCGGAAACCCTGTGCAGGGTCGCTATGAGTAGGAATTTACTCCACGGCACATAACAACAACAACCACATTTGTACAGCTAAAAAAAAAAAAAAAAGATAACTTAAGTTCTATCTGTACAAGGACTTTTTAAAATCTTTGTATCATACACAAACACTAGTAGTACATATGGTATTATTTCAAACTTGTCTGGACCTCCTAGAAATTAACACTAAAACATTACTGATGAAACAAAGCACATAATCTGGTCTCTATAGTCAGGTTAAACAAAATGAGTAAATTCTTCTAAATCATTTCTGCTTTATTGATACAGAAAAAAAAATCTTTTGTCTTCCAACTAAATGACAAAATCAGTTTAATTCTTATGTTACAAACATAGGAAAAGAAACAGATACTACTGTTGTTGTTCAGTGCGTTTAGTCCGGCTCATAAAGACCCTATAAAGAGTTTCCGAGGAGTGGCTGGTGAGCTTGAACCACCAACCTTGCAGTTCACACGACTTTGCAGCCCAGAGCATTAACCCACTGCGCCACACCATGACTCCAACAGATAGTATTAAGACAAATAATTCATCAGGCATTCCCCTAAGCGCTCAGACATCATCAACTCATGGCGATATAACAAACATCATTTGTTAATTGATCATTCGAAATTATAAAATCCAATATGAATGTGAAAAATTGTAGGCCTTTTCCTTGATAATAAACGTTCTTCATATA